TTTCACTACTGGTGTGTTTGTGAGTGACGGGTTCAGTTCAAGATTGGACCTCACTTGGGCATATGCGTATTCCTTTGTTGTTGCTTTGATTATTGATTCTCCTTCGTGAAGGTAACTGGGATGACCATGAGATTTGTATTTATCTTGGGAAGTCACTTGGCAGTTGAGAAATTAGGTTATTCACAATGGAAGGCTAAAGGACCTGTATCTATATGCATACAAGAATAGATTGCTGCCTGCTATTGAGGTTGAAAAAAAAAACAATCAATATGTTACACAAAGGGAAATCAGCTCTACCGACAAAGTGATCTAATGTTGATCTCTGTCCATGTCTCAGTCCATTTTCCTCAGTATATCCTCTATAACATTTCCTTCCAAGCCATTGATCCCGTACAGAGGTATATTTAATCTGCTGGAATATAAACCACAAATATTTAATGTCTATTCGGTCATTTTTTGTCCATTATTCATCTTCATTTATTTCAGGATTTGAAGCCAAATTGAAATTTCAGTTTAAATGAGCTAAATGGATATCAGGTGCATCAAAACAAAAGGTGTGCCAAATACTTGCAGGCAGATCGTACTTGCGATCATCGGATGACGGGTAGTGTGCGCGTGCGCACACCGGCCCGTTCGGCAGTTGTCGAACAAGCAGGCCACTAACTCGCCGGGAATCGTGCGATTCCCGGTGGGTTTTCCAGTCTGCTTGTTCGACGGAAGACGTGCGACCGTACAGTAGAAACGGTCGCATGCCTTCCATACACTGCACGATTATCATATGATCGCGGGATTTCCCACGATTCTCGTACGAGAATCGTGCAGTGTATGGGCACCTCAAGAGTTTTTTTCGTAAAGTAGTATTATACTCTGAAACTTTATTTCAGTAATGAATCCAGATCAAACAAATCTGTATTGCCCAGCAAAGTATGTCTTTACATTTTCCCCCAATCACTTATAGTGACCATGTTTCTGAATAGGTGCTTCCAGCTCTCTAAGCTCTGCTTAACTGAACTTCCTGTCCAGTACAAGATCACAAGAACAGAGCAGTCTATTTTGCTGGGCCTGTGTATTTGTGGAGACACACAGAGCCTAATAACACAGACAAGGGGGGCTCCATAGGAGCGTGCATGGGGAAAGGAGCCACCCTAAAAACAGGATGTCAGGGCCATCATTTAGGGGACCAGCTGATTCTGCAGGAGACTGAAACATTTAAATATCAAGGAGCAGTATCCATTGTATGTGATTTCATTAGCATTTCAAATAGCTTAAAAAACCTTTTGACTTTATCACTTTAAGCAAGCAGCCACATTCTCCGTACAAAAACCTATCACCCTGTCAGTATGCTACAGAGAAGGACCCTTGCTGTCTGTGCTCACATTCACTGGTGATTGGAGAGCTCTAGGTCTGACTCAGCAGGGATCTGAGAGAGACCATTGCTTCCAATGTACCACACATACAGCAAGGATCCTTTTCTACAGTACTCTGTCAAGGAACAGGCTTTTCTACTCCGGCTGTGGCTCCTTTCGAGAAAAACAAACTGTAAAACATCTGCTTGTTTTTGGGGGACGTTTTGGGTTGAAATATTTTGGCAACCATTTTTATTAAAGCTGAGATCAGGCTGGCATTGAGTGTGTTGGTCCATCTCCTTCCCTCCTTCCATAGGCATCAGCATTAATATTCACGCTCAGGCAATCCAAATGTGCATGTTAAGGGCTCATTCACACCATCTGCGTTTGCGCTGTACTAGCCGTTTTTTCCCAGTGCAGCCCACACGCAAGACATTTGCCTTGTCATGGGTAGGGACAGTTCACAGCACTACGTTCCGTGATGTGCGTTAAACAAAGTACGCCATGCAGTACGCCATGCAGTACGCCATGCAGTACGCCATGCACCACAGTAAGACAGTGAGCCCTGCAGTGAGCCCATAGAACTTAATGAAATGTCACTTGTGACACTTTAATACATTTCTAACAAAAAAAGGAAACGGTGCCGTACAGCTTGATCAAACGTATTGGCACTGTCCGGGCACACGCACACCAGCAGCCATGTGGTGAACAAGCCCTCATCCATTTGTTCAAATCAATGATGATTTGCTGGCTAAAGCTAAACCAGCAAAAGTCACCTAAGCAACCCTCTAAGGAAGAATCATTGCATTAAATGACCATTATTGAGAGCAGTCTTCAGTTTGAATAGGTCATTATTGACCAGTATTACAAAAGAGTAACCTGATTAATGTCGCTTATATTGATCACTTTCTCTATAAATCTTTCAACTGATGTGCTGACAAGAGAACAAAAGGAAAACGGCTTCCATGAAGCTGCTGAATGGTAATCGCTCGGGAAATTAGCTGGCTAATAATAAAACAGCACACCCTGAAAATAATTTTTTCGCAGTGCCTCCTCAATCCTTTTATTTTCTGCCAGAGGTTTCCTGTTTTCTTTCCTAAAGTGTGATAATCCACACTAATATATACTTTGATATCTGACTCCACTTCTGGACTGGGGTGAAAAAGCTGTCTTGGCATGAGAAGTTTACCAGCTGCATATACAACAGTTCTAAGTCCAGTGGAGTAATAGCATTTATAGAATGGAACTGCTGCCAACTCAAGACAGTATTGCTGCCAGCAATGCATGATGAAGTCTATCACTTTATTCAAACATGACTTGCTTATCACCCCACAGAAATGAGGCAATAAGAGCGCAAATCCAAGAGTGTGAATGGTGTAGGGTCAACCCGTATCTGTGAGATACAAATGGGAAAAATGAACAAAAAGTGGGGACTTACTTGTGGTGCCAGGGATCCGGGCACGGGACGGCCCGGATGAAGGTTCTGGCTATGCGGGAAGTATTGTGTGGTGGTGTTCGGTATGTGGTGATCTCCAGATAAGGGCGTAAGGGCAAGGCAGGACAGGTCTTAGGGTTTGGCCATAGCGGCTGGAAATTATGTCATCAGGTGTGTTGGTGAACCCGGGGGTAAAGAAATGAAGTGAAGAACAGATTTAGACTGGGGGCGGTGTGTGCCGGAGGACTGGTGGAGAGGCTGCCTCTGATCTTAGCCGCAGTGTTTTTTGGAAGTGATGGAGTGAAGGTGGCAGAGGGCTGGAGAAGAAGGTTTCTCCTCCTGTTCCTAGAGCAGCAATCCACACTGACCGCATCCACACATACCCCACATCCCTAAGAGAGCGCTGTGCTTTTTTCTTTTTGTTGTTATCACCCCACGGATACGCTTATAAAATAAAAACGAGGACATTTTATAAGCCAGAGTTTGCTAATCCATGACTCGATGGCTTTTTGACAAATTAAAAGTGTGACGCAGGTGTGGCTTAAGGAATGAGTCCAGGTAAAAATGTCATTGGGGCTACCCTCGCAATGCAATGGTTAAGTGCTCATTTTTGGCTAGGGTCGAAAGTAACACCATATTCTTGGATCCAACTGGCTGTGACAGCGCTCCCTCCTGCCTGTCTCCTCCTTGTACCTCAAGGTCCTCACGTTCTATACACTGTGTACAGAACATGATGGCTCAGGGACCTTTGACTGCAGTGGAGCGGGGAGCGAAGCTGGAAGCACTGGTCTAAGAGCTAAGAGAATGGGGCGAGTATAGCTTTTTTAAATTTTTGTCTCTAAACAAAAAACGAGCACTTAACCCTTGCAGTGAAGGGGTAGACCCACTGTAAAAGTTAATAACATTTTTACCCAGAGTTCTCCTTTAAAGTGTATTTTCACTTTTGCACTCAAAATTGAGAAAACTCCCACTATATGTTTGTTATGTGTCCCTATTCACACAGCATATCGAACAATAATTTTAAAAAAGAAATACAGGTATTTCTTAACTTTTAGATGTCTCTATTTAGCAGGCTTTTGTGGTCCTAGCAGGCTCTTGACTGTCGTAAATAAAAGACTTAAATAAATAAAAGACAGACTGAACGTGTCCTCATTCACATACATTTTCTGGGAATTAACAATTTATTAGGACAAACATCTAGTTCATCTAGTTTACAAGTGATGATAAAATCTGCCAGCACATTACAGACAGAATTAATTATTTGAATAGGAACATGTAACAAATATGAAGGAGGTGTTACCCCAAATTGGCTGCAAAAGTGGAAATAAACTAAACTGTCTCTGTTCGAAGTTCAAGCTGTAGGTGTCCCTGTCGTAACTAGCCAGCTTGACAGAAGTAAAAAATTTGAAACCAACTTTAGTTGAAGGAGCCAGGTGGAAAGTTAAATGGAAAGTAAATCTGTGTATAAATAGTACACTACATACAAATGTCAGTCTGACAGTGTAGTTGAGAAAAACCAATCCTGTCAAGGTCAGTTATATGCATTTCATAGATTTTTACCTGCTTCTGTTTTCTAAAAAAAAAAACACAGACCATTCTATTAATTGCCTTTTTCCTGAGATCTAAGTAGAGTGTCTGCCTGGTATAATTACAAGGTCTGTCCCATTACTGTAAAAAAAGACTGCAGGGAAGAACCGCGAGGCAATCACAAAAATAGGAAATGGCAATTCAATGGGTGTCACAGTAGACAAAATAGTGTTGTCCTGTATGCAAGAAAGTGGCCTATGAATAGGGAGTTTGCCATCCAAACTGTACTTACAAATAATATACAATATGGACATTGTAAGTCCCAATCTACCCCCTATTCAAAACCTGGCAGATGTATCTTTCAATGAAATGTTATGATGCACAGTAATGCTTTCTTAGACGACAGGGTATCTAAATATGTCATTCCATCAAAACCCCCAAAAAAGGAGGTATTATTTCTCATTTTATTGTAATAGCATATTAAATGGCTCTATAATATTATGCTGTATCTGGTGGTTCTGTTCTAAGAAGGGTTAATTTCCAAAATGGCTCAGTATAAGGTGTTTTTTTTTTTTTATTACCCTCTTCTCCGTAACTTGCCAGGTTATACTTTCTAAATTAACTGGTGAAAATGTTTCCTTTCCTTCAAGACATTTTATTTTTTAATGTTAACTTTTTTTACCCCCTTGCAGGTACAAGAGTCTGGTCACTGGAAAAAGAGCAAGAGCCGTTATCGCTGTCTTTTGGATCCTGTCCTTTGTCATGGGCCTAACTCCGCTGATGGGCTGGAACTGCATGGAAGGAGACTGTGGTTCAAATGAAACTATATCTGGCCGCAACAGAACGGTTTCCTGTTTGTTCGAAAAAGTTGTTACAATGACTTACATGGTGTACTTCAATTTTTTTGGGTGCGTTCTACTTCCATTGCTAATCATGCTGGGAATATACATCAAGATTTTCATGGTGGCCCGAAAACAGCTGAGACAAATTGAATTGAAATGTGTTGGTGCTGACACTTCAAGGACCACTCTTCAGAAGGAGGTAAATGCGGCCAAGTCCTTGTCCATCATCGTGGGTCTCTTTGCTTTCTGCTGGTTGCCCATCCACATCTTGAACTGCATCACCCTCTTTGACCCCGAGTTCCACAAAAGAAAGCCAGAGTGGGTCATGAACGTGGCCATCATCTTGTCTCATGCCAACTCTGTGGTCAACCCCATCATATATGCCTACAAAATTAGAGACTTTCGTTACACCTTTCGCAAGATTATTTCTAAGAACCTTCTCTGCAAGAAGGATAACTTCTCCAAGTTTCCCAACGGCAGCATTGGGCAGGCCAGACAAACGCATATCAGTAGCGTATCCGCTGCCAATGTTTTCATGTGACTGTTCGTGCCTTCAACTGGGTGAAGGAATCTTCTGTTACTTGGTTTCCTGGACATACTGAATCTTGTGAACTTATTGCTGAGACCATGAAGGATTTCCTAACTGGCCACTTTGCTGCTGCACTTTGTTAATACGAAATGTTCACCCTTCTTTTACTATGAAGGTATTACTGACATTTCCAGTTTCTCTGCACTGTTGACAGTCTTACTAGTTTTAACGAATCCATGAGATACCTACTCATCAATGCATGTAATATGTTCATTTAAAAACATAGATACATTACTTAGAGGGCTGTGCACATAATCCCTAAACTGGTGTTTTCACAAGCTTAGAATAAGCCATTAAAATTATGTTTAAAAATAATGGAAGGAATTCTCCATAGCTACAGGCATTAGTTTTTTTTTAAGGAAACATCATATAACCAATGTCATATGTTTTTAAAATGTAAAGTTAATTTCTGTGTTTAGATCCTTTTTTGGTTAGGATTATGCATATAGTCCTCTCTGCCACACTGTTCTGCCTGGATGGTAATGTTAACCAGCTGTACTCCTGAGTATTCAGTCATAGTGTATGTCAAGGTAACAGAGGGGGAAAAACATGAATAAGTCACCTGAATACATTGGTTGATGTTAAAGCCCAGCTCTTCGCTTTTGACACACTGGATATCATTAGAGAAAGGGTAGGGAAAAGTCAGCATTTTAGAAATTATTATTGCCTGTTCTGTTCCCTTATTATTTCACAGGATCTTATTAATTACTATGCATTGTACCCAAGTGGAAATATCCAGTTTTTTAACTGATGCCATGGGCAAAGCAAATGGAACAGATTTCCATTACAGGCTACTTTTATCAAGCTACAACACAGCTAAAAAGGGGTCTGTGCAAAGTGCTAAAGCCTGTTGTCTCTGACAATAAATAACCATATCCTGCATTTAATAAAGGTTACTTGATTTTTGGGGTCCCTAAACAGTACCTCATAGGACTTTTGTATGAAGACACCTGCTTTCATCTTTTCTTTACTTTTTTAAAGAGTGCAGCCAGTAAAATGTTCAAACCCCAGACCTTAGTAGTATTGTGAGGTGTCACCTGCACTTCTTATAGCGACTGGACCTTGATTAACGGTCGTGGTGTTCGTAGTGATTACACGGATGACGCCGTGTTTTCCAGAATCGTAGAAGATGTAGATCACCAGCACTCCGTCAAAAGCATTCAATTTGTTTGCTTATTTATTGAAGAAATATGTCACAAGCATCATTTAGCCAGTGTTTGGGGGCCACGCAGGGCTTCATTACGTGTATGACAGTGGCTTCATTACGTTTATGACATGTTTTTCCAATTAATAAGCAAATTCAATGCTTTTGACTGAGTGCTGGCGATCTCCGTCTTCTACGAACCACAAACCTGTCTACTTGTTCCAGGTAAGGGGTTGGGTGCTAGAATGACAACCCTATGGTATGTCCCTTTTAAAACAAGTTAGCAGCATTTCCCCTTAGGCAATTGACATTTTTGTGATGCATTACCTTGCTTTATGTTGCATGGTAACATACATTGTATTGAGGCATCCTGTCAAAAATAATGGGCTGCCAATGCACCCAAGTGAAAATCGTGAGTGACACAAACCTTGTGATGCAACACACTGCAGTGCATTGCAGTTTGTTGTCTAACTGTGATGGGCTGTCATTCAAATTAAATAGCACTACAAAACAGCAGGGCATGTAATATGCATTGCCATGTGCTACACATTAACCTTTGCATTTCCACAATGCAGTGGTCTAAATGGTCCCTTAAAGAAAATCTGTTTTGAAAAAAAAATCTAGAACCTGTCATTGCTGACCTTTCTAAAATGTTAGCCTTCTGACAGCCATGTTGACCCTTTGTCTTTGTTACATTGAGTCCTTACCAGGAACAAGTATGAAGAACAGATTTTACTCTTAAGTTTTCTGACCTGCATATGACTTCTAGATCTGTAGTTCAGAAAGCATTGAAGCCAGAGGATAGATATAACAGGCAGGCTACTAGCATTTGGAGGTCAGACTACATATTCCTCAGCTTTCCACAGTCTATATGGCATCTACTGTATGTATGTCAGCCATTTAGACAAATGGTAATATTTCCCATTGGACATTGTATATTTTTGTATTCTATTTCAAACATTAAGGAACAAGACAGGCAATAATTAACATTTACAAAACCGAGGATTTCCCATTGCTATATTTTAGCCTAGGACCACAATTATTTATGTTGTTACAACTGTGGTTTACCAGCATTAACCTGAACAATGAAACACTACAGAATCCTTCCTGGGTTTGCGTACGGTGCAGAAGAGAACATAGACATCTCCATGGAGGGATGGACATCTTTCTCCATCCACATTATCTGATTCAATCCCTTTCTTTACAGTGACTAGACCAGGGAACAGATTTAGCTAGCTTTGTCCTGCATTGCCTTTCAGTGGGTTGAGCCTGGGAATAGTGTGGTGCCCTCACATCCCTGAAGGGTCAAATTAGACTGGAACCAAAAAAAAAAGGCAATGCTGAGACAAGGCACAGGGGGAAAAGCACAACTCCTAAGAATTCAAAAAAACAGTCTACAATTTGCTGTAAATAGATCTATATTTATATATTTGTACTATTTCTGTGTTGCAGAATAAACTGTTGTAAATTATGTACAGAATACAGAGCGGGTCACTGGGTTAAAAACTATTGTGGGATTGAGACCATGTCGATAGTTTCTTGTAAATTCATTGTGTTAAAGACAATCTGATGTTCGCCGTTGTGGTGAAGGGCTACCCATTTTTGACAAATGACCATTCACCGGTTACATTATATGTAGAAAATGGATGATGCTGCACTGTAAACAGTGTTAAAGGGAAGGAAACATAAAATACAGACTGCTATTATCAAAAGGTCAATGAGATTATTCAACAGAACAGTGGTGGTATAGGAAAACATAGCATCCAATCAGATTTCAGTTTACTGAAGTCAAATCATTGAGAGATTGGTAGATTTAATGCACTTAGTCTTACAGGGCTTTCATGCCCCATCAGCCTTTGGGCTGTCCTGACACTTCACTGGTTGGATATTGTACTCTGGAAGGTTCCTATAATCACGCAAGAATGACTGTATGCGTTTGTGCGTGTTTGCTAATATTTATCATAAATAAATCCTTGTTTCCAGTGAGAGTGCCAGATTTTTAATTTGAGGGAATTTTTGCTCCATGAAACTTTCATACCGGCCAACTGCCTAGGATTTGTGGTTTCTTACATTTACTTTTGGTTTGCTAACCATAAAGAGAACTAGCCGCGATTCAGCTTTTGCAAGACATTAAACAATCAGTCTTAAATTATTATAATTCTTCAGACTTCATCATAAAACATTTACATTTGCTTCATTATTTAAACCCTTTCTGAGTCTGACACTTGAGATTGAGTAAAATGCTACTGTTCCCCACCCTTAAATGGTTCCTGTCTTCAGCTAATGGTTGCAGGTTCTATTCATGAGCTTGTAATCATGGAGAACTCTATGATTAAGCCATGGATTGAATAAAAAGTATCAGTGAAAGTAAAAAAAAGTATGGATTGAATATGGATTGGATTGAATAAAAAGTATCAGTAAAAGTATCAGGACACTACAGTGTCCTGTAGTTACAAGGTATGTAGACAAAGACAGGCCTTGGTTATCTTGCACTCTTGAGGTGACCCTTGACCCTCTGACACAAGCTGAAGTCAGGCTCAGTAAAGTAAATGTAAGGTAAATATAAATGTTTCAGAAGTAAACCTGTACAATTATCCTAATTTCAGTCTAATGACTCTATGTTCTAGTTCTGGTTACCATGCCAGTGCACCTTAAAGGGAATCAGTGACGGCAGTGGGCCTCTCTAAATTACCATGTAGCTAGTTTTTGGGTTGGGGACATTTAAACTTCTTAGAATGGCATGTACCTGTTGTTTCAGACTACGCAGCAAGCAACTGAAGCATCTGTATACAACATTATATGATCATTATAAGAATGGATGTATCATCCTGCCCTTTTAGTCATATACAGATGGTCTTTAAGAATCAATTCTACTTTATACCTTTAAAGACTCTAAAACAGCCTAAACTTTTTGAAATTTGTAAAGTGAGCAGCCTGTATTTTATGTTTAGCGGTCCCTTAAAGGAGAACTATACCTGTAAAATAAGACCAATGTTCCACAATCTAATGTCATTTAGTAATGCCAAATTCAGATGAAGCTACCTTGTTTTACTTCCCTAAACCCGCAAAACTTGAGAAATGACTCCTCTACCTCACATGAGGTCTGCAGTCCGCAAAATTACTGCATCCAGTTGACTTTTTTTTTTCTTCTGGTTCTCCATGGCATTGTCTAATTTATTCAACTATGCATATTACAAAATACTAAGCCTTACTTATTACTGTATAGTCTCCCTCTGGTGTATATGACAATGTTGGTTACATGAAACACTCCCAAGCTATCATTTGATAGCAGAAGGGTTTTGATTGATTGCCATGTGAAAACACGGCTTCGGAGACGAACAAGGGTGCAAGAGATTATATCACCAGTGCAGTCTAACTCCATACAACACATTTCACGTCTTCTAATGTTTATCTCTTTTGATAATGTATCTTTATTTGAATACTGTGATTTTGTTTTTAATACTGTACTGTTTTGCACTTTAAAGGAAAAAGAAATGCAGAATTTTACAATATTTATAAAGAATATGTCGGTTTTAGTTATGTACATTCCCTGGAAATATACAAGCTATATATGTGTCAAGTTGATTTTTAAATATAACTTAATTTTACATAAAATGTAAATGAGAAAAAAAAAATTGGAAAAAAATGCTTCATCCACTATATGTTTTATGTGTAATTGTAAGAGAGATGTCAAACATTGTCAAACCCTTGTAATGTGATTTTTATCAGACTATAATGACCCATTGTCAGGGGTCCGTACCTTGCAAACAGGGTGCAGTAGCCTCTGTTGCACAATGTATAGGGCCTGTTTGAGGTTTAAAGTGACTGTGTTATTACAATCAATATTAAAAACGAAGGATCCCTGGAAGAAGACATTTAGACTGCTCACCTTTCCTGCTACCCATAAAACAGATCACTGCAGGGGTGAAGAGAATGTGCTTGCTGAAGATCTGCAGAACATGACAATTCCAGGAGTGTCTGTTTACTGGTTTCCCCCGCCACATTCTATGGTTTCTCCCGCCAGTCCCTACATTGCTACAGAATACAGGATTGATGTAGGAGATGGCGGATCCAACCAATAAGCACAGTGGGGGATCAGGAAACCGACCGCAATATTCACAGGCAGCAGGAGAAGTGAATATTAAATGTTTTCTTTGCAGGAGTCCTTTATTATGAAGATTGCTTTAAGAGTCATCTTCAGGGTTGAATCCTTTCAAAAAATGGGAATATCAATGTGATAACAGTGGATATTCTGGAACCTTTCAGCACATGACAACATTTAACTTGTGGTGTTCTTGTCATTACTGTTTTGCACACACTAGAAGCATTGATATTGAACTTTTGATATGCGATGCCTCAGATCAAGAGGATTTTATTAAAGTGGAAAAATAAAGCCACCTTGCCTTGAATCCATGCTTTAGGCAGAACAATGTGTGTAATACGCTGTGGACAGTTCAACATATTGCTATTAGGCTTTTTATTTTTTGTACAATTATAAGCACTAACAATGTCATTGTATATCTGTCAGGAGAAAGAAGGATCTTTACTAAATATATACTGTTGTCTGAAAGATGTAAAAAGCTATAGTATGGATGCTTAGAAACCTGGTCGCCTTATTTATTAAAGTGTATTTTCCTCTACTTATGTTTTTAGGCTTGGTTCATTAAACATTCAAGGTACAAAATTCTAAGTACACATTGTAGTACACTCATCAACCAGTCGGACTCCATCTTGCAGTGTCTCAGTTTTGTAAAGTGAGTTCTGATTGGCTGGCATGGATAACTGTACTGTTTATTGCCTGAATAATGCACAAGTGATGTCATTTGTTTCCAATGACCCAGCTGGCTCTGGTACTGGCACTGTTCTCCAAAACATTTGCTCTGCAATAAACAGCCAGCTCCACTGCATACAGTACGGTTGCCACCTTTTCTTCTAACGAAACCCGAACACTCTAGCAACGCACTGAATTTTTTTTTTGGGAGAATGAGTCGTGGCTTATTCATATAAAATACCGCCGTCCATTCATATGTAAATATCACAGTTTAGACTATTTGCATGGTTTACTGCATCTTATTGCTGTTGATCTCATGCAGCCTATTTGCAACCATTTCCTGTCTACAAACATGCACTCCACCATGCTGTTTTAGTCTCCATCTGAAGTCCATGTGACAAGATGACAATGCAGGAACAAAACTGGAATACAGGGACCGTGTTGTCACCCTGTAACAGGAAGTGACTGAACAAGGCTTTTCATGGCAGGATCACCAGGGATTATTTTAATGAGAGCTACAGAATTAAAAATACTGAAAATTACTTTTGACATTTTAGTAACATGTTAAAGCTTATACAAGATTTTAGTGATCGGGTTTACATTATTATTGGAATACTCTACCTAAATGCTCAGGGACCAGTTAATTCTGCAGTTAGCTACAACTTTTAAACATCAAGGAGCAGCATCCATTGTAAGTTATTTCATCAACATTTGAAATAGCTTAAAAACCTTTTGACTTAAATATCACTTCAGGTCTTTGCCTTGAAATGTGTGTACATGCTGATTCAATAAATAGCTGCACAAAGAGACCAATCAGAACTCAGCTTTAAATAGTTTAGTCTGCCCATTCTGAGCTGCTAGTAGATCATATCTGGTTGTTAGGGTTCAAGATGCAGCCTTGCTCTTTGCTCGGACACATGAACTAAGCCCAGTGTGTACAGTGCAGTGGTGTAACCAGAGTTCTGGGCGCCCGGGGCAGAATTTTTATAACGGTCTTACAGCACTGGATACATGGTGCAGGGGTGACTGTATAACATTGTACGGCATATAATCTACAATCAGTGGGGTTCGGGGAATGCCTATAACGGTCTTAAAGAGCTGAATACATGGTGCAGGGATGACTGTATAAAATTGTACAGTATATAATCTACAATTGGTGGGGTTCAGGGGATGCCTAAAAAGGTCTTACAGCACTGGATACATGGTGCAGGGGATGACTGTATAAAATTGTAGGGTTCAGGGGATGCCTGTACAGAACAGCAGACTCTGCACATAGTTTATGACTACCTGCATAGGAGACACAGTTTGTTGTGTACATAAATGTACATTCCTTTTCTCTCAACGATTTAGGTAATGAAAACACCATGAGCAAATCGCTTCATTTTAAATGTGCATTAAAAATATGTAACATGACAACCCTCTGTATACAGTAGGGATGCACCGATACCAGTTTTCCGGTATCGACTACGAGTACCAATACTTTTTTCTACGATACTCGCCGATACCAAATGTCACATTAAGGAAACCGTGTCTTGTCACTATTGTCACCCAGTCAGATACCTATACACATCTGACTCACTGTGGTAATGTTTGTTGACACTTGTATAAAAATGACTATGGATTTTTAAGCTATCTCAAATGCTGCTCATTTCAGCAATGGATGATGCTGCTGGAAAATGTTTAACTTGCTGCAGAATCAGCTGGTCTCCTGAGCACTAGCCCTGATATCTGGTTTTAGGGTGGCTTCTTTCCTATGGAATCACCTTTGTGTGTACTAGTAAGCTGTGTGTGTATCTCCACAAGTACAGAGGCACAGCATGGAAAGCCACTCCCCAGTTCCCCACTTTTCCTTTCTCTCTTCTCTAAGCTAGTAAATGGACAGCTGCTGGAGACTAGACTATGCTGTCCCTTGGGATCTTGTACTGGACAGGAAGTTCAGGGAAGCTGAGCTGAGAAAATTGAAGCTTTTTGGAAACATGATGACTGTAAGTGCTTGGGCAAAAATGTAAAGAAATCCTTTACATGATGATGTATGTTTGTTTGATCTGGATTCCTTACTGAAGAAGGTTTAGGAATTTAATACTAATTTTAGGGCCCATTCACACCAGCCGCTGCTCTACATTGAACAACAGCTGGTATGCAGTGCTGAGGTGAGGATCCCGGCACATGGTTTGGCTTGTGTTGGGAGTGGTGGAAAAAAAATGGCCAACACAGCCCTAAGGCATTTGGTGGGAATCGGCCCTAAAACCACCTACGAGACTCTGTCAGGTTTTCATTACTGTCAGTGCCCCCGTGCAGAGATTTCCTTCTACTTTCTATGCTAGTGAGGCCATGTATAGTATATTGTGGTATAAAAAGGTGTTACCACAGGAAATGAGGTGAAATCTTCTGAGCGAGCACACTGACAGAAATGAAAATCTTTCTAAGGCTGGGTTCATACCTGGGCGTTACTATTGGCACGTTTTTAAGCACGTTTTTTAGTTCAGTGAAACGCACGTTCGACGCTCGTTTTTATACCTCCCTGGCGGTATAATTTGTTTTCCCTTTTAAACTTCCCGACGGTTCCACGGAGCCCGGAAGATGGCAGAGGCCGGAGGACACAGCGGGGATCGCGGACAAGGTAAGACCTACGCTGTATTCCCGAGTGTGGCTCGGGGTTACCGTTTTGTTAACCCCGAGCCACATTCGGGAATACCAATGGATACGTGCTGAAATACGGCCCAAAGAAACTCCTGTACTATTTCGGGCATAGGGCGGTTTTCAGCGTGTCAAAGCGCGCTGAAACACGCCCAGGTGGGAACCATGCAATAGGAGTTAATAGGTTTTCACTGCTTGAGTGTTTTCCGCGCTTCGATCAGCGCTGAAAAACGCCCATGTGTGAACCCAGCCTTACTCTACCCCGCTCTACCCAATAAGCACAGCACAATGGAAAACAGATTGTTACCAATTATTCTTATCAGCCTAAACATCCTGTGTGTAAGAGCGGACACTGGTCGATGAAAAGCTGGTGAAAGCCGATTCATGACTTCTTTAGAAACCAGGTGTAGGAAAAACACTGCTATGACTTCCTAGGAAATTTCAGTTTACTGTTGTTTGTATATAGGATGGCTTCCCTAAGGCCCCATTCACACTGAGTGATTTGCATTTTGCACGATATCGCGCGGTTTGTCGCGCAATATCACGCAAATGGTTGCATTGAGCAAACTAGAATCGCGGCAAAATCCGTCCTGCTGTATCGATGCACGACCCGCGACAGCGATGGACAGAGCCCCATTGCCATGCATTGGAGAGCGATATCGCACGGTAAATATCCGCGATATCTCAGTGTGAATGGGGCTTTACATAACAGTACATGAGGAGTGCCGTCATGTAACAGCATTGTTTAGAGATGAATTGTTCCATCAGATATATTACATTATATAAGATCAGACCCAAACGTACAAACATTTTTTTTTTATTAATTTAATAGATTCATCATCATTTATAAACCCTTGTGTCAACAAATCACTCTACTCAAATACTTCCATACATGAAGAAACATTTCACAACCTGATACTGATTCGGAGCACTTGTGCCCAAAGACAAATATAAAATAAAACAACAGATCTGAAACACATCTATGTACATTTTTAATTGCCAAAAGAAGTGGAGAAAACATTTTGTGCTACATCACTGCCTTGCATAAGTAAAGTGACAACTCTACTCAGTTCTGCAAACTTCAGAGCACCCCTCTTCCCAACTCCTCTTTGGATAATGAAGGAGCATAACCACCTCTCCTGAAATCCACATAGGTATCTCCCCCTGCAGGTGACAGATCATTTACCCACACCGTAAGCCTCATTTCAACTCTTAGCTGGCATGGGTTGACTGTATAAAAACAGATTTCAAGTAATACCACAGGAAGAAGCAATGATTTTGATTATGTCTGGTGGAAGATAAAAGTGAACTGTATGGTGATGTATGTAACTGGCAGGAATGTTAATACTGCAGCTTTCACTCAGGTAAGACCAGCTTTGCTACGAAATCACACAGTCCCACACAGAAAAGAAGTCACTGCAGATGAAATTGGCACTTCAGTCTTCTTTGGCCAGTAGAATGTCACTCATCTGCATGTCGGACACCGTCATTTCCTGGCACACTCCTATCGCCTGGCTGAGGTAGATGGCAAGAATATGTTTGCACTGAAAAAAAAGACAAGGACAATTTAGTATTCAGAGCAAAAATAGGTTTAGAAATTTGAAGGTCACACCAACTGTATGTGTTTTGTGAAAAAGAAAACTGTAATGGCAGACATATGAAGGTTTCCAGTGCTGACCTTCTGAAAAAGGCAGATGCATGTCTGTTGAGACCTTGTCCTCAATACGCTCTGAATCACTAACCCAGGACAAGTACAACATGCAGGCCAGTTTTGATTTTTCTGGTCACATGCTTGTCCCAAGTCAGTGATGAATACTAAACTACTGAAAGTAACAGCTAGGCAAGGGAGATTTTCAGCTGGAAGCAATGACAGCCTTTTCCAAATAAATGTTTATTAAACAGAAACAACAACAAGTAACAATACAAAGAAACAGCAATAATTATCTTGGCACATTCCAGTTATGACGTAGGTTGTATAAGAGGGAGGGTGGATCATGAATAGTGTATACAAAGGGGCATAACTAAAAGAGCAATGACAGCCTTTACTACTCAGTACAAATGAGGATTTAATCAAATAACACAACAAATAGCAAGAAAACAAAAATATGCAAACAGATGCTGGCAGCTAACAACCCTAGATTCTTAATTAATAGATCCATATGGAATAATTTGTGACAGTGGATTTCAGCTTTATAAAATTGCTTATAGAAAAGGATTATGTCCAGAAAAATTTAAAACAGTAGAAGAGCACCGCGTAGCCAGGCTTACTTACAAAATCTTTTGTACCACTTATATGTTCTTCCTCCTTTTTTAAATGAATGGAAACTCAACAAGACTCTTTCGTTATTGCTAGGCAGTACATCTTCCATCAGGCTGTACATTAGCCAAGGGGGTGAAAAGAAAGAGACCTCTAACTCTTCAGGGTGGACAAAAAGGAACACAATCTGAAAGCAATGCGTCCTACCAGCAAGAGATCCACAACTATCATATTCCTGGCCAGAACTGGACTGCCCCAGGGGAGGACTGAAGAATGTTCTTGTGGATTCCACTGTTAAAGGAGAATTTACCTGTTGGTAGTTATAGTGTGACATACAAGTCACACACTTTGTGCAGGCATGAGTTAAGAGATAAGCCTCCAGGCAAGGTGGTGGTAGTGAAGTCACACTGGTAAGAAGAGGGGTAAAGACACAATAATGGAGGAGGGGTGAGAGCAGGAATGGATGAGTTGCCATAAAGGGAGAGAGAGAGGGGGTTTAGGTAACAGATTTGAGAAGAGAGGGTTGCAGGTGTGATGGTGATAAAGCAGGCATGGAGTTGAGAGCAGGGGGCATTATGTGGATCAGATGGGGTTTAGAGTGTGGTGGTGGTGCTGGCATGGTGGTGAGAGCAGGGGAGCCATGTGAGGTAGAAATGTGTGTGTGTGTGTGCGCAGGCACTGGGTGAGAGATTGAGGGGTGCTGTACAGGAGCAATGGGGAAAGCGGAGAAGGGTGCATGCAGTCATGGGGTGTGGGTGTGTACAAGCACATTGGTACCAGAGGGGCAGGATGCAGATGCATTGGTGAGGGTGGGAGGAAGCATGCACAGGTGCACTGGTGGAAGAGGTAGTGCAGGCATGGTGAGAAGAGTAAGGAGTGGATAGTGGCTAGAGAAATATGGGGTGTGAACACAGAGGTTGTTGAGAAAAGTAGTGGTACAGGTGTGGTGGGTGCTAAGATAAAGGGGGCTGCAGGCACAGTGAATGCAATGGGAAGATACACTGTAGGTGTGATGGATTATGAGAAGAAGAGGGGTGCAGGCATGATGTATTCTGGGGGAAGGGGGCTACGGTGGGATGGATGCTGAGAAAAGAGGGGAGAAATATAGTGGATTGTGAGAGCAGGTGTGGTGGGTGATAATAGAAGATGGTTGTAGGCACAGTGGGTGCGGGCAGAAGAGGGGCTGCAGGTGTGGCAGATTGTAAAAGAAGTGGGTGTGCCATGCTGAGGGTGATGAAAGAAAGGGGGGTGCAACTTCAGTGGCTGGAGAGAAGGGGGCTGCAGGGGTGGTGTAGGAAAGTGGTTCAGTTCAGAATGCAGTGGGGGCTGCCTTAAAATGTGGGAGGTATTGGCTGACATTGCAGGGGTGGGGGTTTGGAGTGGTGTCTGACATTGCAGGAGGAGGGTGGTTTAGTGATATAGTAGGGGGGCTGGCTGATATCGTGGGAGGGTTGTGGGGTTAGTGCAGGGGTTAGGGTGCACTAAGCAGCAGCTACAGGGATGGTACCAGTCGGCAAGGAGTACTCCTTCCCCACACAGTACCCATCCCTTTCCCTGCCCGCATTGCCAGACACCACAAAGACTGTCTAAAAGCTTCTCTGCTGCAGCCATTTCCTCCTCAGCCGGCTTTCTCTCTGAGCCCTGAATATACTGTGTAACCTGTCAGGGCTTCGAAAACAGGCTGTGTATGAGACGTCTGCAGCAGCAGAGAAGCTCCTGGCAGTCTGTCAACTCCTCAGACAGTATGTCCCTCCAGCAATGTAGGCAGAACCTGTGTGGGAACGAATCGTTTCTGTCGATCATCAATACTGGCTGGCAGCAATGCCAGTAGGGGAAGGGTGGTTGTGTGCTGCAGGGGGCTGGTAGAAGCAGAAAGATCGGCACAGAAGATCGGACGGGGTGACTGATCAAGGGAATGCTTTTGCAATTTAATTGGTCAATAGAGTGGAAGAGGAAGGAGGAGAATCCCCCAGTGGCAAAACAAAACACTAACTTAGGCATTATATTATTAAAGCATATACATGATTATGCACGTGTCTCTCCCTCACGCTGAAGAAATAAATAAATATGCATACACAGTAAATACATACATATATATATTGTATATTAACTGCTATAATTGCTGCACCTACATTCCAAATAATGATGAACTGATTAGAAGAAAGAAAGATCGGATTAAGAAGCATCATTTAGGGTAAGTCCTTACATTAGCACTGGGGGGGGAGGATTTGGCTTGAATGTCACTTTAAGTAGCTCTTAAAATCAATGCCCAAATCCTGTATTTTCAGTATAAAATATAACTAATTGTACTTGGCTTGGCATATAGAACTAAATTCTACTTATAGTCCAGTTTGATTATGTTTTTACAACCCAGCTTTAAGCGCACTCTGTAAATGCCATCCTACAGTTAGATGTTGAGGATCAATGAATGCAGGTTGTTAAAAGCCATATGTATCAATCATATGAATATGTACTCTAGTTGCTTGGCTGTTGTACATCTGCAGTGGTGTCCTAAATCCTTCATCTCCTTTAGCTACTCATTCACATCGCTCACCCATACAGAGCTACATAAAAGGTTCTATGAGTGATGCCCTCCTCCCAATGCTTCCTGCCTCTTCTGTTATTAAGAGCTAAATACTGTGCAGGAAAAACATTATTTTTTTATACAAAGCATCCTGGCATCCCAAATTAATAAACTGTGTGTGTTCTAAAGTAACCACCGCTCTAAGCTCATTCCCATGATAAACTATCATTTCAAAACAAATTTGTAAACTAAACATGAAATTGTAGTCCATCATGGGAGTGAGCTTGGAGCGGTGGCTACTTTACAACACACACAGGAACCATGGGGATCAAAAGTAATCATCCTGCAGAAGGAAGGACAGTGTCAGCACCTACTCAGAGATGATTTGAGGATCTACAGCTGAGTGATACACAAATAAGATACATTTTTGATAATAGTTAAGGTACTTTATCGCATTTTTAAGATTTAACTCCTGAGTTTAGTGTCACTGACAAGGGCCACCTGCTGAGAAAATCTGGGAGGTCAGCTCTTTACTACACATGATTCCACACAGAGGGACCTCAAACTAGGGGCTTCCATTTTTCATCAAATGTGCTATTTGTTAGGCAAAATACAAAATAAACAGAATCAAGCATGAGCTGCAGATGGGTGTTACAGACAGCATAACTGAAGGAATGTGTAATAGAGAAGGCAAATGTGCATTATGTGAATAGATATAAGACCTACCAAGGTAATGGTAGTCATGACATCCTGCCCAAACTCAAGCTACATTGCTTCTACCATTGTCTATTTCAGTTTACTTATTTGGCCAAAGCACTTGATGATTATTTAACTTGAAATGTTAATTAAAATGAATAATAGCACAGGCTGGTTCTGACACCGATGCCACGCATACCTAAGACACACCTTCATTTCTGACACACCTGCAAAATTCTTTATAAAGCTAGAAATATTCAATGAGAATGTAAATAGGTGCATATACAGTATAGTAATATAGTAGGTAAGGTTGAAAGACACAGGTCCATCTAGTTCAACCTATGTATATGTGTATGTATGTATGTATGTATGTATGTATGTATGTATGTATGTATGTATATGATTGGCTCTAGTAGTTCCCATATCCCTGTATATTTAAGAACTCAAGAAACTCATCTAAATGTTTCCTGAATGTATCAATGCTATCAGCAGATCCTACTGACTGTGGAAGACAGTTCCACATTTTTACTACTCGCACAGTAAAAAAAAACCCTGCGAAGTCTGAGATTAAACCTCCACTCTTCTAATCTCTTGAAGTGCCCTTGTGTCATTAGTATAGTTCTCGGTGTAAACATCCTATTCCGAATATTGTTGTCCCCATTTAAGATTTTGAAAATTGCAATTAGGTCCCCCCTCAAGCGCCTCTTTTCTGAGAACAAATTTAATTTCTTGAGGCAATCTTCATAGCTCAGGCCTTCCATCCCCTTTATTCATTTTGTAGCCCATTTCTGAACACTCTCAATTTCAAAAACATTTTTCCTGAGAATTGGTGACCAAAATTAAACTGCATATTCAAGGTGAGGCCGAACCAGTGTTTTATAAAGTGGAAAGATTATGTTTTTATCCCTTGCCAAAATCCCTCTTTTAATGCAGGATAATATCCTGTTTGCTTTCCTGGCCACAGCTTGGCACTGCATGCTATTGTCAAATCTGTGATCCATGAGCACCCCCAGGTCCTTCTCCATCTCTGACTTCCCCAGTGGTGCACCCCCTAGGTAGTAGTTTGC